ATAGAAGAAAGAAGAAAATCCAATCAGGTAGAATATACATGTAATTATGCATGTTTTCATTCTAAAACAATTTTTTTTTGTTTCAAACCATTTAAACACTTATGCAATGAAGAGTTTTTTTTGTCTCTTCTTGTTATATATTTTAACCTTAAAAAATAATGAAGTACTCATATTAGAGACTAGACTGTTTTGAAAATGCTCATTTTGTATTTATTTTTTTATGCTAAAAATTTAGTTTGTTCTTATCTTTTTTTTTAAATCGGGTAGACGTACCTCTGAAATACTGAAAACCTTTCCTCGTTGATTTGCTTTCATACTGTCAATAGCCATGTGATTTAAAGTTCTGAATGTCCTTGATGCAATGTGGAACATGTATCAACCTACTCATAATTTCCCACTTTCCTGTCTTCCATGTGACTTGTTGCACATATTTGTTTTACATATGTCATGAGATGTTACATAAGCACTATAATTCAGACTTCTAACTTACAACTGTGATGGAAAAGTTATATGGTTGCGGGGAGGTGGGTGGAAATGTATTTCAGAGGTATTTATCTGTTTGCAATTTATTTTAATTCTAAAAACATGAAATTAAAATTGTCAGAAATACTGAAAGCCAGAACATCCAAATTAAAAAGGAGGTTGGAACTTGAGAGAATTAAGATTAGACAAGAAATATAGTACAAGACAAGTACATTTGTTTTCCTTTACTGTCTGTGTTCAATTTATTCTTCACTGAATAGTTCTGGATGTTTTTGCAGATGTATACATACATGCATTGTGTATTGCTTTAAAAGCTGTACTGTATTTTATCCTCATCAGCAACACTCAAAATACAATGATTTTCTTCAACTTTTGGTGGATGCTCAGAATCTTGAAACTAAAGATGGGGAATTTCTAGAGACTGGCAGTGACAGCAAAGGAAAGAGTAACAAGCTAAAGGGTAATTTGTAAAGTATTTTGCCAAGCACTGTAATTGATGCCACTGTAATGGAGTTACTCGTTTTACAAGAATGAGAGAAGTTTATTTTAAATCTGGTGTAATTAAGTTCTTTCTTACATTTTTTCAAAGTTTCTAACTAGTTACAGCATATGAAGAATAACAATTTGTAGTTATGTTTTAAGATAAGTAGAGCTCCATGTTATCTTTGTTGTCGTCACAGTGAACTATTAATATGTAAAACTAGTAATTAGATCAAAGAGAAATAAATCTCACTTAAGTGATTACTTTCTAGTTTATTTTAATGTAAATCCACAATAAAATATAGAATTAACAGAGCTTGAATAAAATGAACATGGTTTTTTTTTATCCAAACACAGATTAAAATGTTTGAATTTAATTTGGCCAACTATTCAACTGTTGTTCACAAGTTTTGTTCACATTTCTATGCCTATTAGAACAAAGCATTTGGGCATACAGGTTTTAATCAATTCTCAAGTTACGAATTTGTTTGTAGACCCATCACTACTAGTAGAATCTATATTGACAATTTTTTTGTTTTTGCCTGTTATAATACTAAAGAACTGCACTCCCCCCACCAAAAAAAAACAAAAAACAATTGGGTGACACCACACAGTAATTAGTGGGATTAATCACAATAAAGACAGTATTTTTTTATGTGTGACCCATTTGTTCTTAGGACCACTGTAACCAACAATATCATTATCCACAACCAATTTGGTGCATAAGTGAGTAGTTTTGAAATATGTATTTATCAAACAAATGGGAATCCATATGACTCATCAGTAAATCAGGCAATATGGAGGATAAAACGCTGGTAGAAAATTGAGAACACGGTGTTCTCTTTATCAGAACCTGATTTTAAATTATGATTAAAGTGGATATTTTGTAGAAGTGACTGCAGAATGTATCATCATTATGGTATTGTTTTGTGTTACATTTATGTTAATGTCAAGCAAGGCTGAGTGGTTATCATTGCTGTACTTTAGATGTGAGTTCCACGGTTCTCATTACTAACAAAATAATAGAAT